GATTAGCTTCAGTCGACTAGTTTCAAATACATAAAAAAACAACATCATTTAACGTCCCTTTTGTAGAAAAAAAAGTATATTATGTTTCCAACGCATAAAGGATCCGTGCCCTTTCCGAGACGGGAAAAATAACTTGATATTCGATCGAGATAAAGCCGAACACCGAGTCGGAAAACCGAGTTGGCTGATTCTATCAGAATCTTTTAAGTGTGAATTGGGTACAGCGTAGAATAATTGTATTATAAATATTTATCGGCGACGTTCATTTGGGAGAACTAGAAGAAAAAAAAGCCCAAACTAACGTTAGCTATCTGTATTTATTTGAGGCTCTTCTCGTATCATATCATAAATACATTAATCGGTAAAGTTTCAAAGGGCGGAGCTTTCAAGTTTCCAAAGATGCTGTCTCGCCCCCCGAAGTTTCTCTAAATTTCGAAGCAGACATCTGGTTCCATTTTTCCCCAAAGTTCTCCTCTACCGTTACTCTCCACAGTATTCCATCTGAAATACAAAATAAATCTGTCGAAAAAAAAGAAACGAAGAAGAAAGATCCGCCGAAAACGAAGGACGGAACAAAAGCTTCGGAATATCAAATATTAATATCCAGGTGAGATTTAATTAAAATAGTAAAGCGAGGGTAAAGTCGAAATATATTATTTATAGAGATGGGCTTCAGTTTGCGCATTTATTCTTAGCGCGGAATGGAAATAGATTTTCAATGTCAGTTACGCTCTTTGGTAATTGGAGGTGAAAGTTCATATTTCAAAAGTCTCTGCTTTCGCTTTACTATTTATACATCGCAATTATAATTATATTACATTAAACTGTATGTATGTATTTTTTTTTGTGTAAATTCACCGGGCTTACTGCAACTTGATAGGATTTTGAAGCCTTTAACTAAATATAATTAACAAAGTTTCGGGCATGTGGGCAAGTTTCAAACGCCTTTTATGTGGTTTATGCGGTGGTCCACGCAGGGGGTAGTTCTATAACATATTTTTAAATATTTTATCAAAGAATGCCACTTTATTACTACGCACTCAAACTGAAAACTAACAGAAAAAAAACAACAAGATGAACTGAAAACCTGGAGATAATAAATTTAAATCATACAGCATTTTACTAACTGTAATTCATAAACTTACATTAAAAGCTCCTAGAAAGTTGTAAATATGCGGCAAGTTGGAAGCGAATGAGAGAGCTCTGCCCTCTTTGTAAACTACACATTAAAATTTCAGTCCGGTTAATTAATGCAAATATGTGACAGAAAAATGAGATTAAACAAATATTTTCTTCTTTTTAACTTGCGGATATTACGGCTTCTCGGAAATGCAAATGACATCATAGCCTCCTCCTCCGCCGCAACTCTTTTCTTTGTTTCTTCTTTCCCTCGGCTATTTTCTACCCCACCAGGAATGCATTATGTATGTGTATGGAAAATTTATAGTTGGTAGCATTTTTTTGTTGTTGTTTTAGTTTGTTTTTTTTTGCAATAGATTATCAGGTCTATAACATTGCAAGGGATAATAAATTTCGCCAGTCGGTTCCGGTCTAGTACGTAATTTTATTACCGTGTTATAACTTTGTTTTAGATACACACAAACTGCAACTGTCAATCTTCATTTAAATGTCCTGCAATGTTTTGAAACAATTCCAGCCGTATCATACTCGTATCGCGCAGCGCAAAAAAAATTGCACAAACGGTAATTTGCACAACTTTGCGCGCTGCAATTTCCCGGATTTTGATGTGCATATTTTAACTTCAATTTAGGTGAACATGTTCATAACCCTGCGTTAATTGCTATGAATTCCTAATTTCTCCGTTTAAAAATAACTTTTTTTTCTATAAAAGATTCAAACTCATTTAAAATAAATATTATTTATAGATATTTAAAGCAATTTAATTTATGTATGTGACTTTATAAATACGAATTAATTAATTTACTAAACTTTATTAAAATTAATGTATATTCTATCAAATATGAAAATATAATTAATTATGCCATAAAAAATCATACATTCTTTGCCCAATGTTAATTTCCATTTCATTAGTATTGGAAAATTGCAAAAGAAAAACAATTAATAATATAAAATTCTAAAGTTCAAAAGTAAGTATTTTCTTATACTATTAATATGTGGGTTGTTCGTTTCTATTTTCAGGTGATTAAGATTGTAGGTAAATACAAAAACAGGATACGGGTTAGGGTTTGGGT